GTTCTTATATTATGCTTTGCTATAATACGAGTAAAGTTTACTTTCAGAAAAGCCTCTGATTATGTTGCATATTTTTATGAATGTTCAAGAACACTGTTGTTGACACCCAAAGAAACCAGGGAGTGGGTTGACTTGAGACAGATTAAACAGGAGACAAACTGGACTTGTAGATACAAGAATATGACTAATCCCAAGATGACCTTACATTCATGTGGCAGACCGAGATCAGGAGAGCATTGTTCAGTATGAATTTGAGAATGTTCAATATGAATAAAAGCTGTGATTATTCAATGACTTTTATCTCAGAGATTTGTATTTTCAATGTCTTTGACAACTATATGAAGGCTTTTTTTTCCAGTTTTATGACTATATGAAATGGTCACATGAATTTTTAAACTCCCTTTAAGTACCTCTTTTAAAATTGAGTTTGCATTCTAATATTTGGTTCAAAAGAATCTAGAGCCTAAAGGTAGTATAGCCTTTATTACAATTAATATGATGTAGTTGTAACTCTTTTCTGAGAAACTTTGCACACCTTAGAGTATTTAGAACTCAAGTTTTATTTTTAGTTTTACCTCTTTGTTAAATATATGCTTTTAACATTTTTCTTTAACTTCTCTAAATCATAGTGTCCTTGATTATAAAATGGAGCTACTCAGAATACTTATTGTGAAGGTTATTGTGATGCTCTCTGTAAAGAGTAGGCATTATCATTCTGATTGTGTTGTTTTATTAGGCTTATGATGTTTTCCCCTTGAATATTTTTCCAGAGATTTTTTTTTTTTTTTTACAGTATTAGGACTAGAAAAGGACTATCAATGTATACTTTAGTATGGATTGAATGGGTAATCTGAATAGAGGCAGAGGGGAAAGTGGAATTAGGGCACCATAGTAAATAAGAGCCAAATCTGTTATTGGAAGAGTGTTTTGATTTTTTTTTTTTTAATGAGTTGGCTTAAAAGCTGCTTACCCCTTCTGGGATTCTTATAATTTGATTACTATTCAACTACATTTCTTACAGTTTCTGGTCTTAGATCGACCAGCAAGGACTTGAATGCATTTCTTTAGCCTCATTTTATTCATCCATCTGTCCATTCTTTCAGCTAGCCAGATATTGCTTACTGGGGCCCAGGTAAATTCAAGCAAAGTAGTGACTCAACACTGAGATTATAGAAGCAAAGCACAGATCTTGAATTTAAAGAACACATAGTCCATGAAAGTAAGATGTATTGCCTTTCTCAGTATTAAAGATGAACAGGACAGGGAAGAATAGAATAATCAGGCAATGAATGATTAGTCCCCTTCTTTTGTCCCTTGGTTTTGGTTTTTTGAAACAATTCTTGAAGAAGAGAGAAGAGCAAAAAAAAATTAGATGATAAATATATTTGAATCCTCATTGTCCTCAAATCCAAGTCAGTGTACATAGCTAAAATAATTTCTTTTTTTTTTTAGTTTTTTTTAATCAATATTTTTTATTATGATGTTGTGGGGTACAGTTAAGGGTTAGATATACAAATACGTTTCATTCAGGCACCCTATTGATAAGGTGTTTCCCCGTCCCCAGACAGATACTTGCTGCCATTGATCCCATCTCCCTCCCCCCCATAGTTTCCCACTACTGTCATTTTCTTACAGTATAATCTCTTATTTCATGAATTCCCTTGACCGAGCTATGGAGAGCGTGCGTGAGCTGTGTCATGTGATAGTCAAGGACATTAGCATTAGTGCAAGTGCTTCCCAACATTTTTGCCATCATGGCATACTTAGAAAGTATTTTTATGGCCCACCAAGGTAAACAGACAAGGCAGCTTGTAGCCTAGCCAGATACAAGCCTAGGGCTTCTGCTACCTCAACCTTATTGTCATCCAGAGAGTTAAATAGAATCAATTATCTCTACACATCTATGATGTGTTGGCACTATCAGATACACTACAGTTTGTACACTCTGTATTAGATTATCCCCAGGTTGTGCCTTCTTTGCTGACCCAGGACCTCACTAATTTCTTTTTTAATGAACAGTTTGGGCATGCTAATTGTAGGCTCTAAATAATATGTTTTAGCAAGACAATGAATGGGTATTTAGAGCATCTCAAAGGAAAACATTGGAGTAAAAAATTACTGCAGGTTGGAGACAGCTTTTTTTTCTTTTTTGAGTTGGAGTCTCACTCCGTCGCCTGGGCTGGCTCTGGTGATCCTTCCACCTCAGCCTTCCAGGTAGCCGGAACTACAGGCATGCACTACCACAACTGGCTTATTTTTTTATGTTTATTGTAGAGATGAAGTCTCACCAAGTTGCCCAGGCTGTTCTCGAACCCATGGGCTCAGGCAATCCTCTCACCTCCGTCTCCCAAAGTGCTGGGATTACATGCTTGAGCCACCATGCCTGGCCGGAGACAGCTTTCTGTAATGAAAAGAGACCAGCTAAGAAATTGGAAGTCCTGGGCTTCAACTCTAACTTAGTCACTTCTGGCAAGTCTCTTTTCTCTAAGTCTGCATTTTCTTCTCTCTAAAATGAGGGGGTTTAAGCAGGATAATCTTTAAGCTACCCGTTAGCTCTAAGCCATGATTTCCTACTGCCTGTAAATCTTTGCTGTTGAGTTCAGTGTCTCTGCATGGAGTCTTTCCTGTGTGTGAGGCACTGGGCAAATGGCTTCCCGTTCATGTCCTAAGGCCAGTTTCACGGGGCCTGTCAGATCTAAGGTTATTGCTTAGACGCTAGAGGAATGAAAAAAGAGCTAAGATGCCTAGTGACGAAGAGGGAATAGGCACTGGAGAGGGAGTCTGCAAGGAATAAATAACAGTCTTCCAGACCTTATGGATACAACTGAATGGAGTAAAACAGTCTTCCAGATATTTATGGATGCTTTTGAATGGAGTAAGAGCATAGGCTTTGTGATTCAGAATCATCTCAATAGCTAAGCTGACCAGTGTAGCTGGCAGCCCTGGCGACCTTAACCTTTCTAAGAATAATTTTTTCTTAGCCCTCCCTTCTAGAAGCACTTATTGCAGGTACATCAGCCATCTATGTATACATACAAATGCCAGATCTTGATTGTCCAACTTGCTGGAAGAAAAAATGAGTGCTAGAAATCCCTTTGGAAACTTTCTGTGGTTTTCCATAGTTATCTAAGTCCTTTTTGTCAAGCCATGTATTGGGTGGATGAGGCTGCCTAGCTGGAGAGTAGCAGAGACAATATGTAGGAATGATTAGATAATCACAGACTCGTTGAATTAAGGTGATAGTCATTTGCCCTGTAGAATAAAATGGTAACATTTGTGCATTCAACAAATTTTTATTGCTTATTTACCATGTGTCAGCTATTGTTCTAAGAGCAGTTAGAAATTCAAACCTGAGCGGTTCCTATTATAGTCAGATAATGACAAGTATACACACACACACACACACACACACACACGTAATATATAGACACACACACAAACATATACACATAGATACATATGAAAGATACAGTAAACCATAAGAGGGTTTTTAAAGAATAGACACACTAGTAGTTTATTTGTAATGTTAAAAACACATAAATAAATTCTCCCTTCCTTGCTTCCCATTTTCCATCAGCAAATATTTATTGACTCGTGTCATATACACTAGAAAGAAGGTCAAAACTAAGTCAAGCATTTATATATCAAAAAATACTTCCAAGTAAATAAAGATTTGCGCAATAATACGTACCCAGAGAAACATGTTTCTGATATGTGCACAAGAAGATACATATAAACATACATATATGGATAAAATATATGCACATAAATATCTTTATATATAAAAAATATTTGCTTGTACATACTCAGAAAGGATACTTCAACCTAGAGGGTAAATAGCCACAAGAAATCTGGGTTCATGTCTGCACATATGTATGGTTGTGACTATGTGGGTGTATGGGAGGTAACAAGGGAAAGGAGAAAGAGGGAAAGAGAAAGGGAGAAGACAGATAAGGAAGAGGAAACTTAGTGGTATTAGAAGGAACCACAGTAGCTGGTAATTTTTATCTCAACTCCCACTGCCCCATCTATTTTTTCTATGTTAATCTGTAGTTGGTACACCATTGTTCATATCATCAATATCATTGGAATTGACCACTCACCCAAATAGAACAAAAAGAATAATTTCTGTGTTAAAAATACAAAACATCTACAGACATTAGAAGTGCTTATGTGCTCCAACAACTGTGATAAAGATAACTTGCTAAAAGTTCTTCCAAAGCAGAAAAAAATTAAAATCTCAGGGAATTTTTTCCTTTACTGGCTAGAAACTCATTCCAAGAAGGACCAGCCTGTCTCATTTCAAAATGCTTCCCTTACCAAGGAAGCGGAAGCGGTCATATTCTTTCCCACCAAACTATGGGTGAATTATAATTATCCTACTTCTTGTGGGACAGTGAAGCAGCAAACATCTGCTATACTGAATCAAAACCCCCACAAATGAAACTATCCCAAAATGTGAATCATACCTGGACTCAGATGAAAGGATCTGTGTTGTGTTTACCTTTTTCTTTATTTTCTTTGCAATCTAAAATATGAATTTGTTAACTCTGACTCCATGTTCTAACTGAGGAGAAATATATGGATTCCATTACTGATTCCTGTTTTAATGTTGAAAAATCACATCTTTAAAGCAGATGGACAATAATGGTTGATAACAGTTTTTCTGTCTGGTTTATTATTCTCTCACCATTTTCTTTTTATTTAAAAGGATGGTACAAGTAACAAAATTTAAAAGTACACACTCTAAGAGGTGAAATTCTTTAGTTTTAGTTTCAATTACAAAGAAGCAGAAAATAATATTTTAAGCTTTATTTCCAAAATACAAGCTTCATAAATACTGTTACTTATCGTGATTTTCTGTGTCAGTTTTGTAGTACTATACTGTTCACCTAAAGTACAGAAAGGAAAATGGTACTTCAATTCTAAATTTAAGCTGTGAAAGCATATATAATAGTCTGCTTTTAAAAGTTTTGGATCTTTTTATTTTTATCTGTTAGAGAGCAGAAAGACAAACTCGAATTATGGATTCAGCTCAATATGCAGAATTCTGTGAAAGTCGACATTTAAGTTTCTGTAAGTAAGCATTTAACTTTGCTTAATTATATGTATGAGATTGTGTGTTATAGATGTTTCTAAGAAATTGGTAGATTTAATATATGCGTAGTTACTGTTACAGAAACAACCTCTGCATTGTGGAGGAGCCTATAAAAGATTTTATCACATTCTACTGTTTTGCAATTAATAATATTAAGAGGTTTTAAAGGGTACTAATAATATACAGAGTGCCATGTTAACTATTCACATTACTTTTAGTCAAAAAAATTCAATTTTTTCCTAATATTCTCATTTTAATTTCTTTTCTAATTTCCTAGACATATTTCTGATTGTATTTGACCCATAATGGACTCTAGTAGTATGGTCGTGGCATGTAAAAGCCCTTAATATTAATTATAGATACCAAATTTTTTCTTTATTCATAGTCATAGTACCACAAAGGAACACATCAGTAGTCTCTTCCATTTTTGTCTACCCTCTTGCTGTGTAATGCGTTCAATGTTAGCCAAATTCATTAGTACATGCTCTTGTGACATTAATAACCTAGTGGTAAAATTAGTACATTTACATCACTGCATACCAGCTTACTAAAAGTACATAAAGACTCATGATAGTGAGCTGGATTGTGTAGCAAAACATCCCCACAGCAAAAGTTCAATGATGACTAAGGCTCTTGGGGTAAAGGTCAAAGAGAAAGTGTGATGAAAGTCCAGTTCAAAGTATGACAAAGTAGCACATGACCCTCGTCTGAGGGCTTGTAGAAACAATGGTATCTTTAAATGAAAAGCCATTATGTGGTCACAATAACAGCATATTTGATTTGGAAAAAGAAAATGAGTACTTCATTTATAGATTATAAAGTGCAAATAAATGACACATTTCAAATAGTGTCCCATGTAAATGTCAGTGAAATATAGGAAAACATGTTTTGAAAGATTTTTTTCTAACTAAATATACTTTCCAATCTGACTAACAACTTGGCATCATACATCTGTGAAGCATTAAGTAAATGGCACTTCAGATCATGGCAATTTCAGTAAATGAGAGGTTTTTGTATTGTAATTTTTAGGTTTAAAAATGGCATTCTCTTTATAAGCTTAAATCTTCAGTTTATAAAGTAACATTTAGTGCAATTGAACTATTTTTTAAAATCATATTTTAAATTTAATTCACTTAAAGGAACAGAAGTACTATTTCATACAAAAACTCATAGGTTCAAAATCTCTTAATATGCCTTTTGTTTGAAAATCAGAGGTTTTAGTTACTTTATCTTTATAAGAAACTCAATCATAAACCATAGTAGATTAAAAATTATTATTTTCCTTTCTGTCTGAAATAATTATAGTATAAACAGTTTATTATGCTTAATTTTCTTTTCTTTAGAGTGTGGAATTTGGTCATTTAAAAATACTTATATGATGCCCATAGGTGCTTTATTATGAAATCATGGTGGGAGAATCTGTTTTTTAATGACAAAATACTGTGGTTGAAAATGCTTTATTCCAAGTAGGTCAGCAAATTCAGAAACCATTCCTACACTGGTCAGAGAATTAGGCTGTTTTTATTCTTTGCTTTCTAATAAATCAGCAGGTTGTGGGAATTGTGATCCTGCCATATGTGTCTCCTTAAGTATTTGATCATAGTAGTCACTGGGATTACTGGTACATTTAAAAATAATGAGTCTATAACTTTATAGGCTGAGGGTAAAGCTATAGCATTGGATCACTGATCTAATTCATTAGTCTTTTGTCTTAATATTTATATAAGTCAAATAGTAATTTCCCTTAAAATCTTTTTGAATTGATTCTGATATTGACTCACAAAGCTCCCTTTAATTACTATTTAAATTGTTATTATAATTTATATTTTATAATTAGAATGTATAATTGGTAACTTATTGACTGATCTTTTACTTTCAACTTTTTATTTTATATTTGGTTTTTATAAACAACTAATACCTAGATTTTCTTTTTAGACAGCAGAGAGGCTGTGTGTATTTGGATTGATGAGTTCAATGTATATATATTAATTATTAATGCATTTGGGTTTGTATAGGCTAGCTTGTCTTGTGTTTTAAATTTACTGTGCTTTTTAATTTACTTTTTGCCCTCCTTTTCTATTAGATTGATTGGATTTTCTTCATTTTATTTTTCCTCTACTAGTTTGTACTATTTTAGTTGCTATCTTTAATTTTTTAATATAAATCCCTGACTTAAAATTTTTAAAGTTAATGATAAGTATTTAAACTTTCCTTCTCGACCTAATGTCATTTTTCTTGAGATTTTATAAGTATTTTAAGTATTCATTTTTATCTTAAAATGGTTTTTATTTTGCCCCATATTTAAATGATTATTTAGTTGATTAGGAGATTGTAGGCTGATAGTTATTTGTTAAAACATGATTCCATTTTCTTTTTGGTCTCTGTTGTTGGTAGAAGTCTACTGTCAGTCTTTTGTATTTTTCTTGTGGGAGAAACTAAGAGACTGAAGACACTGCCTCCAGGTCCTCTGCCACAGGGGAAATGAAGAGGCTAGCAAACAGTAGCTGCTCATAAATATGCATAAAGAAGGAAAAGAATAAGGAACCCCTACTACAAAGGGTTCCAGGAAAAACCATGCCCTCTGAGGAAGGCTATTTTCAATTAATGCAAAGAACAATAATGATTTTGAAGACGTTGACATTACAGAGGAATTTCTTCTGAATGGAATGAGCATTTTAGAGGACACTGAGGGGAGAATCAGGAATGGAAAGACTGAGACGGGATGGAGTAGACGTCACCAAATAGTATACAGGAATGAGAGGGTGGAATGTTGCAAGAAACTGAAATGTTGTTAGTGATTATTGATAAGAAAGATTAAAAGTGTGTGAGATTAACCTTAAATTTCCATACGAAATTATTGTGTAAAGTTGTTTTAAGTCCAGCACAGGATGAAAATCCAGGTAGTTATCAAAAAGATGATGATTCTAGGAACTTTTGACCATTGCTTGGGATTCTATTTAAATTGTTAATCAGTTTCCAGATTACCCTTTCTCCTGATATGTTGGGAAGAGGGGAGGAGGAGAAGGAGCTTGTTTATTCTGACACCTCCTCACCTCATGATAAAAACAATCTGTCATACCTGTGCCTCTTCTGCTGGAACCAGCAAGGGTCAGCTTCAGAAGCAGTCCTTCTTGAGGTCACAGAAGGAGAGAATTAGAAAGCGTCTTCACCTGTTGGTGGAATAGCAAAAACCCAAGTGGTTTATGGGACCTCTATGCATCTTCTTTGATGAACAGAAAAGTTTGGACCCTATCCTTTTATTTTTAAAAATCTTTTTTTCTGGCGGGGTGTGGTGACTCATGTCTATAATCCTAGTGCTTTAGGAGGCCAAAGAAGGGGGATCACTTGAGGCTAGGAGTTTGAGCCTATAGTGAGCTACAATCCCACCACTGCATTCCAACCTGAGCAACAGAGCAAGACCCTGTCTCTTTAAAACAAAGAAACGAAAAACTCTTTTTTCATCATTCATTCATTAATTTCTACTGGAGACATGTTTTATGTATCTGCTAATGCCAGGCACTGTTAAAGGTTCTGGGGATACAATGGTGGATAAGTGGTCCTTTCACCTGCTTTCTCAGTGCTTACAATCTAGCCAGGAAGCTACTAATTCTGTTACTTATGTGAATAGATCTTACTCAATACTAATAATGATCCTTTCCCTCACTTTTAAAATGAATTATTTAGAGCATAGTCACACAGTATCTGTTTCTGTCCTAATGACCTGACAAGGTGAAAGGCAAATAAGGTACATTTTACTGATCTGGCCAGATTGCTGCCTGTTAACTTTAACTAACTTCAGAAGTATTCTACAGATGTTAAACAAGTGTTTGTGAGCTAGTTATATGGAATGTTTCATGTCAGAGACTATTTGTAAGACTGGTTACTTTGGGGAGATAGCTTTAAGGGAGATTATCATAATTCTGCCACTTTTGACAGCTTTGGATATGTACTTCGATAGCAGGACTTAATGTCTTCTATGATTTATTTAAAAGAAAACTCTTCTGTATGTGGAATCCAGGAAGATTCTATCTAGAAGAATCAAAACATCATGCCTTGAGTTACTGCTAAGTGTTTTGTAGACCTGTGGACCCAGATTCATCAAAAGAATAATCAGTGAATTTAAATTTTTAAAAAAGATTATTTTATAGATTTGATAATATCTTCACTATCAGTCTTTTCCTTCTAGGTTACTAGTTAAATTAATAATGTCCAGTGAAGGCCTTACATCACATTAAACTTGGCTTAGCACTGTGGCATCTTAGAGATGTTTAATCGACGGCTCTGTATATGTTTGGCTCTGTATATGCTTGATACTGTTAGGCATGAGGCATGGTCTTTGTCCACAAATAACTTACAGAAATTGTGAGCTTGAGAAATTATGAGCAGTCATGAGAGACTATATCATGACATAAAGTTCAATAAATGGTGAGGGTGGGAAGGTATACCTTGGACCTGTATGTTCAGGATTTATGTGAATGAAGAAAAGTGATAAGAGAACATTCCATAGAAGGAAAGGAGCAGGAGAGAACAGAGGATGATACTCAAGGCCCAATGATGGTTTAACAGGGGAGTATTGTAAAGGCAAGTTGGAATCAGCCTGGACAGTTCTGAGAGTCTTGCTTAAGAGTTTAGACATGTACATAAGGAGGAAAATGTAACCACAGACTTATATCAGGCCAGGTGTCAGCTTATTTGATTCTGAATTAACAACTTTGAGCCTTTTCTGTTATAGTAATAGACCTATTTTGAACAGTATTAAAAATTCAGTTTCTATGTTTCTTGGTTCTTTCTTGTAGGATTTTTTCCCCCAGAAGGGTAAATTAAAGTTACATAATGCAAGTATATCTTGTGACTACTGTCATAAGCTATGGTCAGTGGTAACTCTGAAGCAGTGTGAGAAGTGTTGAACATTAAATGGTTTAGTATACTATGTCATGTAGCATAGAAACAAAATAAAAACCCAGATACATAAAGGATTTCTTGAAAGCAATGATTGTGTTGTTTTGTAACTGAGAGTTAAAACTTGGGTTTCTTGGGGACTAATGTATAGGCATTATAAATGTATAGGCATTAATAAAAGTATGAAAACATTGCATTTTATATGCATTATTATTGGTGTGTAATTCTGAGTAAATATGTTTTCATTTTGTGGTAGTAATCTGCAGTATTAAAACACTTTAACAATTAAATTTTCTATACTTGTTTTCTTTAATGGCTAGACAAAAAAGCTTCCAAATTTCGAGATTGGCTGGACTGCAGCAGTATGGAGATAAAACCCAATGTTATTGCTATGGAAATCTTAGCATATTTAGCATATGAAACTGTGGCACAGGTAAGAATTCTAATATGTCATATCAGGCCACACATGTCTTATTTCTCCTTATGACTATTCATGATCAATTCTTCTTCTTGCTGATGCTCTACAGTGAATAATGTCCATGCATTCTCTCCTATGACAGTTATGTCATTTTATGGATTTATTTCAATTATTTTTCTTAGTGTCCTCAGCTCTGGCAGGTGTTTTTAAAAAAAAACTTTCGTGCAACTTAATCCTAACCATAAATGGAATCCCTGCATATTTTTTCCTGACATTGAACTCTAAGTCTATATCTGCCTTGTTTGGAGACTATTTTTGATCTTTGAAAAATACCTTTCTAGGTATATGTGTCTGGAATCACTGCCCTCCTAACAGACTTTCTCAAAGTGTGGTCTTTAGACCACACGCATCAGCATCTCCTTAGTTCTTGATTAAAATGCAAAATCCAAGACTACATCATTATAGTATACCTACTGAATTAAAATCTCTGAACTTAAAGCCCAGAAATCTGTACTAGTGAAGGTCATCATAATTTCATTTGTATTCGTGGATAGGTCCATTCACTAGTAAATGAAAGTGTATGCTCATGTCTGCAACATAGATGTTTTAGGCAAACAGTAACATTCAGAATATATTGCTTTGAGATTTGCCACTTACGTGACATTCATGATTATTTCCAGCTATGTGACTTTATTTCATTGCTCTGATCTTCTAGTTAGTAGATCTGGCTCTTCTTGTGAGGCAGGACATGGTAACCAAGGCAGGAGACCCCTTCAGCCATGCCATTTCTGCAACCTTCATTCAGTATCACAACTCTGCTGAGGTAAGTATTTTTTTAAAAATCTGTCTTTAATGCATCTGTGGATTTTGTCATGTCTGGTGTTTACATTAGTAGTTCTTTGAAAAAGATTATGCAGGAAGGTATAACCTTCAGTCAAAGAATCTTAATACATTCAACATTCAACCAAATACTTACTGAGCATCTACTATGTGCTAGTCTATTCAGGCACTCCACTTAAGACAGTTTTTTTTCCCACCTTTTTCTTGCCTCATTTAGCTTTCCTTGGCCCTTTAATGAAAGGGATAGTTACACAGCACTTCTTATTTCCGTGGAAGATGAACAACCCAGTTTATGGCAATGATGGCAAAATTATTTATTTCTTTGTGCCTCAAAAGATGAGAGGGTTATTATTATGCATATAATAATAATTACTGGCACTTACTAAAAAATTGGCATATCAATTATTCATTTATCTCTAAATATGATTTAAAGAAGCTTGACTCTATCTTCAGTTCTCAGTTGACTCATCTATGTGAAAATCATATCCTTCTCTGATTCTGTTTATGCTACTTATATTCCTGTCCATGGGAACTATAAAGTCTTCTTGCCAATTTTAAGACTGTGCACCACTTTCAGTATACAAAATATTATCTGTGAAGCAGTATATGGCTAAAACCAGAAAAGTATTATGATATGTTAAACGCATTTGCCAATATCTGACCTTTTTACTAACAGAAACAACAATTTTATATAATTCCATCTAATTCCATAATGAAGATAGCAAGAAGGTTAAGTTAGCATCTACATGTAGAATTGTGAAGTGAGTTTTGGATCTAGTGGGCAAAATGTGTAATCTGAAAATGGCTAAACTGTGCCTTATATCCATACTTTAATTGCATATGTCTACTCCCTATTATTATCTAAGGTGGGAATGGTAGCTCAACTAATCTCTAATGAGTAGTTGTAATCATTTTTAGGTCACAGACTCATTTGAGAATCTGATGAAAACTATAAGCTCTTTCTCTATAAACATATTCACACATCTCGCTTGCAGTTTCAGGTTGTTTAGAGGCCCTCTGAAATCTTTCTAGGGATCTAAGAATCTGTGAACCCTATGACCCCTAGGTTTAAGTATCTCTGCTCTAGAATACTTAGAAAATATATTAAGATATATGCCAATATAACATCTTATTACAAACAGAAAGTCAGTTTAGCATTTTCTTATGCTCCTTGGAGAATCAGATTGGCATGGAATCTAAGTAGGGATTAAAATGTTTATGCCCATTAAAAATCCATTTTTTTCTGGGAAAAAGTCATACATCATTATCAGTCAACATACTTTAAAAGTCCCTAGAGTTTACTTAGTTGATTAAACACTATTTGTTTTCTTTATGTTACAAACTCAAATTATGATGTCAAAGAACACCCTTTAAAATGTCTTTGATGCATGTTCACTTTATGAATATGTGTATAAGTATGCTTTCCATTAACATCAGACAAATTTGTTGTAACATTTCTAATTGAGGAAATTTACTGTGAACATAACGAGCCTAGTTTTCTTTTAACATTCAAGTGATTGCTTGCATGACTAGGAAAACTCTTTTTCCCCAACCCCCGTCTTGGTTCTTCAGGGTGGCCAAGCTGCCCTGGGCAACTGCTCAGCAACCACAGCCGCCGTTCCCAGCTATCCAGAAGTTCAGAGGATGTCCCATATGTGCTAGATTTCCTGGGTTCTCTGGGAGCTGGGAGCATGAGTGTTAGAGAGCATCGCGACAAAATATGTTAGTATAAACCTCAAGCTTTTTCCTGGCTGGCAACCCCCCTCCGCCCCTATGACTGATAGTCAGAATGAACATTCAGAGATACTGGAAGTCTTCCTTCCTGCCCTTTATTGCCTGAAAAATCCAGCAACCCAACATCAAAGGCCTTTACCCTCAAGTACTTTACCAAACTGGGTCCAAAGGGGAACTCTGGAGACTGATATGAACACTATTCAGGGAGACAGGACATTTTGTACAAACAAACAAACAAATAAGCAATTTAATTTCCAAATGAATGACCCAGTCAGAAAGTACAGAAGTAAAAAATAAAAATAAGACTTTGATGAAATGGTAGAAGTGGGAGAGTACTGTAGGATTTAGAGGCAACAAAAGGACAGTTAGGCAAGAGAAAAAAACTCTTTAAAATATTCAAGCAAAAGATTCATTGAGGAGGAATAGTAAGAAGTTGGATTAGAAAGGTAAGGTTCAAATTATTTAGCATCTTAGACTGCTAGAGTTATTAAGGAATGATTGAAGATTTATGGAAAACAGTGATGAGTTCAAACAATTGTTTTAAGGTTGTTTTAGAATTAGAATGGAAACTCAAGGCATGGGGTTAATACACAATGCATTCTATTTTAAGGGTTATCATTCTTGAGTACTAATCATATGAGGAGCTGAACTAGTTAGCCTGAGTTCCTAGTAGATTAACAAGTTTAGTATTAATTTAATTTTCTATATTTTTTTAACATATGGTTTATGCAGAGAGAGCAGTGATTCCCTGGGAGCTATCTTGTTTTTCCAGGAAAAAGACATGGCAGATTAACCTGATTCCTTCTTCCTTGATAGTGTTTATAGGCAAGCAGATCAAGGAAAGACTTACTCTTGAAACCAGTATTTTTGTTTGTTTGTTTCTTGAGAGATGCAATCTCACTAAGCAGCCTAGGCTGGAGGTCAGTGGCAATTCACAGTTGTGATCATAACACACTGCAGCCTCAAGCTCCTGGCCTTAACTGATCCTCCTTCCTCAACCTCCCAAGTAACTGGGACTACATACACACATGCAACCATACCTGGCTATTTTTTAAAAATACATGATAGAGAATTGTGGGAGAGTAGATAGTATGGTTAATATGGTTGATAGGATGAAGAAAATATATATTAATAATACCACACATAAAAAAGATTTAGAGATTTTTATTTGCCTGTAAATTTCTTAGGAGCCAGTATTGTAATGTGACTAATTAGGAGTTTTTTTTGTCTTAGTGTTAGGCACCACTCTATAGGATGGACATTGACATAGTGGAGGATGTCTAAAGGAGAGTAATAGGGGATGAGGCGGTGTGTGAAGGAACCTAAAAACATTTCTCAAGTAACTGGTTGATCATAGAAGAAAAGAAATATAACAGTCTTCAAATATTTGCAGTGCTTCCACGTGAAAGAAAGAATACACTTGCAGTCCTGGTTAAAAAAAAAAAAATACTAAATAGATATGAGGGATATTAGGGAGGAAGGAACTAAATGTGAGAAGGACTGAAGGAATCTGCACTTACTCTGAGGCATTGAATTTTGAGGTTACTGGGAAAATGCTGATCATCACTGTAACAATGGCTGAAAGGCATCCAGTTTGGATAGAAAGTTGAGGGGATTTCTTTTAAGACATGTAAATTTAAAAAGCTAGCAGAAATTTTAAGTAAAAATGTTTGTATCTCACAAAATCAGGAGTTTTAGAAAGCTTTATTTAAAGAATTTTGATTTTGTCTAAATGGTTAGACAGATTAAAAATTAACATTTAAACCTTTGGGGCAAGATGAAGGTATCTGGGGCAATATGGGCTAGATAAGAATAAATTATGTTTTTACATTCGTACACTGCAAACAGTATTAATTCATGAAATATTAAAGAAAATCTAATGTCATTAAAAGGTCCAGTCACCTGACTTGAAAGCTATGTCTCTTTGGGCAGGGGTCTTGCATGAAGTCCTGCCCAGAATCTCCTGAGAACACACCTCCTCCTACACCAACAGCTCCATCATCTGGGTCACAGCACTCAGGGAAAACTACATCAGGATCTCTAGGGAATGGGAGTGCTGGACAAGATTCAGCTAAGACCAAGCAAAGGAAAAGAAAAAAGGTCAGTGTCAATTTTTTTTTCTGGTGCAGAATAGAGAGGATCTCTTTGAGTTTTGGGTTTTTTTTTTTTTTTTTTCAGAGAAATGAAAAATGTGCTCTGTTTTTCTTAGAGTTCAAATTCAGAAGAAGCCAATCTGTATTCAAACATACTATATTACTTCTACTCAAACTTTTTATAACAACTTTCTTCTGCATAAAGTATTTATTTTCTCCAACCATTTTATTATAAAAATTTCAAAAATACGGAAGTTAAAAGAATGAACATCCTATATGTACCACCTAGAGTCTACAACTAACATTTTACTATATATACTATATTAATGATACATCTACTATATTAACGTTTACTATATCTATCAATCTAATCATTTCTTTATCCATCCATTAGTTCATCTTATTTTTTTATACATTGCAAAGTATTTTGCAGACTTCAGTATATTTCATGCCTAAAGTATACGATATACTTTATCATTTGATGAGTTTTGACAAATATATAAACCTGTTTCTTCAAAACCCTATCAAGATATGGAACACTATCATCAGCTCAGAAAGTTCCTTCATGCTTTTTCCCAGTCTGTTTCTACTGCCGTCCTCAGAAAGGCAACCATTGTTCTGATTTTTTTCATCATAGATTAATTTTTTCTGTTTTAGAACTTCATATAAAAACAATATAATATGTACCCTTGTGTGACATTTCATCCACTGAGGTTTTAAAATGTTTTAGTATAATTTATTTCTCTTCGTTGCTGAGTAATATTTCATTATATGAAAATATCAGTATATTCATTCTCATGTTGGTAAGTATGAAAACTATTGCCAGTTTTTGAGATATTATGAATAAACCTGCTATGAATATTCTTATTCAAGTCTTTGAGGACAAATGCTTTTATTTTTCTTAGGTAGATAACAGAATGAAATTGCTTAGTCATAGAGTTAGGAATATGTTTGTTTTCTAAACAAACTATAAGATTTTTTTCTTGAAAAAAGTTGCATCATTTTGTCCTATCACCAGCAATGTTTAAGAGCTGCAGTTGGCCCACATGCTTATTAGCATTTGATATTATCATTGTTTTTTACTTTTAACCATTCTAATAGATATTTACCAGTAGCTCATTTTGGTTTGAATATGCATTTCCCTGAGGACTAATGATATTGAGGACTTTTTAATGTGCTGATTGTCCATTTATATGTGTCTTTCTCTGAGAAGTGTCTCTTCAAATTTTTTTTTTTCTTTGAGTTGGAGTCTCACTCTGTCACCCAGGTTAGAGTGCAGTAGCACACTCACAGCCTTGCAGCCTCGACTTGCTAAACTCAGGGGATCCTTCCGCTCTCAGCCTTCTAAGTAGCTGGAACTATAGGCACATGCCACCACACCTGCCTGATTTTTTTTTTTACTAATTTTAGAGACGAAGTCTCACCAAGTTGCCCAGGCTGGACTCAGGCAATCCTCTCGCCTCAGCCTCCCAAAGTGCTGGGATAACAGGCTTGAGCCACCACACCTGACCATCTCTTCAAATCTTTTATCCAGTTTTCTGGAGGAGAAGAGATTGACTTTTATTACCCATTTTTAGGAGTTCTTTAGACTGTATATCTTGCATAGCAGTCCTTTGTCAAATGTATGTTTTTCACATGTTTTCTCTCAGCTTGTGGCTTACCTACTTATTGTCTTAGTGGTTCTTTTAATGAGTAGAAATTTTGAATTTCTGATGAAGTCTAATTTATCCAATCTTTAATATATATTACTTTTCTGTGTTCTGTCTAACACAGATAGAACTTGGCTACTCCCAAGTTATGATATTCTTCTGTGTTTTCTTCTGGAAGTGTTACAGCTTTAATTTTTAATTGTATTTATAGTAACCTAGTCAGATTAACTTTTGTGTATTGTATGAGTTGAAGTCAAATTCAGTTTTTTACTATGGCTGTCTAATTACTTCAGAACTATTTATTGAAAGGTTCTGTTTTCTCCCATTGGATCACTTTGGCTGCTTTCTTGAAAATCAAATGACAATAAATATATATGGATTTATTTCTGAAATTTCAATTGTGTTTCATTGTTATTTTGTTAGTTCTTCTGCCATTATCACCCCATCTCAGTTACTGTAGCTCTAAAATAGATCTTAAAATCAGGTAATGTAAGTCTTCAAACTTAGTTATTTTTTAAACTTAATATGGCTATGAAATGTCCTTTGCATTTCCATAGAAATTTTTAAATCAGCATGTTAGTTACTACAAAAAAAAAAGCATGGTGGGATTTTGAGATGCATTTGGTTGAATGCTTATATCAATTTGGGATATGAATGTTTTAGCAATACTAAATCTTACAATCTATAAACGTGGAAAATATATATATATATTTCTTAATCTTTATGAACTCTTTTTCTCACTGACAATACTATACATTCTGAAGTCTGTTTATCTGATTGATTTAGCCATTCCAGGCGTATTGTAATTAATGTTTACACACTATGTTTTTCTATTCATTTTATTTCAGTATGTTTGTACATTTATGCAGGCATACCTCAGTGATATTGTGGGTTTGGGTCCATATCACTGTATTAAAGTGAATGTCACAGTAAAGCAAGTCCTTAATTGTTTTTGTTTCCCAGTGTATATAAAAATTATGTTTATACTGGACAGTAGTCTAGAAGTGGATAATGGCATTATGCCTGAAAAACCAATATACATACTTCAATTTTAAAGTACTTTGTTGCTAAAAATCTTCTGTACCTTCAGTAAATCCTAATCTTTTTGCTGATGGAGGCTTTTGCCTTGATGTTGATGGCTGCTTACAACCAGGGTGGAAATTGCTAAAGGTTAGGGTGGCTGTGGCAATTTCCTAAAATAAGAAAAAACTGAAGTTTGCTGCATTGATTGACTCTTCCTTTAATGAAAAATTTCTCTGTAATGTGTGATGCTGTTTGATAGCATTTTACCCATAGCAGAACGTCTTCCAAAATTAGAGGCAATCCTCTCAAATACTGCCACTGCTTTATCAACTAAGTTTATGGAATAATCTAAATCCTTTGTAGTCATTTCAGCAATGTTCTCAGCATCTTTACTAGGTGTAGATTTCATCTCAAGAAACCACTTTCTTTGCTCATCCATAAAAAGCAACTCATCCATTCAAGTTCTGTGAGATTACAGCAATTCAGTCATATCTTCAGGCTCCACTTCTAATTCTTGTTCTCTTGCTATTTCTACTACATCTGTGGTTACTTCCTCCACTGAAGTCTTGAACCACTCAAAGTCATATATGAGGGTTGGAACCAACTTCTTCCCAACTCCTGGTAACATTGCCATTTTGACCTCCTCCTGTGAATCATGAGTGTTCTTTTTTTCTTTATTGTACTATAAGGATGAATTAGGTACTGAAGTCAGAAGTAGGTACATAAATAGTCTATGTACAGGTGAAGTTTGAGCCTCCAACTGGTCCTCACCTCCCCTGGTTTAGGATCAGGTACCCTTAGTGATGTTGTATGCTTCCCCTCTCCCCTGGCAGTTTCCCGCTACTACCAATCCCTCTCTTGTAGTATTATGATGAATGTTCAGCATCCACTTATGAGTGAGAATATGTGGTAATGTTCTTAATGGCATCTAGAATGGTGAACCCTTTTCAGAAGATTTTTAATTTACTTTGCCTAGACCATTAGAGGAATCACTGCCTATGGCAGCTATAGCCCTGCAAAATGTATTGCTTGAATAATAAGACTTAAAAGTTGAAATGATTTCATGATCCATAGGCTATAGAACAGACATTGTGTTAGCAGGCATGAAAACAGCATTCATCTCCTTTTGTACATCTGCATCAGAGCTCTTGGGTGACTAGGTACATTGTCAATGAGCAATAATTATTTTGAGAGAAATCGTTTTTATCTGCAATAGGTCTCACAGTGGGCTTAAAATATTCAGTAAACCGTGCAGTAAACAGATGTGTTATCATCCAGGTTTTGTTTCACTTATAGAGCATAAGCAGAGTAGATTTAGCATAATTCTTAAGGACCCTAGGATTTTCACAATGGTGTAAATGAGCACTGGCTACAACTTTGCTATAATCTGAGATATGTGTTACTCCTCTGTAAGACTTAAGGTGTCAAGTTTAGCAGAAGATCTAGTTTGCCATTGTAGATGTGGAAAGAATAAGAGGCAACTGTCTGAGGCTCCGAGTCCTTAAATTTTGACTCTGTTAAGGGAAAGGCTGACAAAGGGTAGAACACTCTTAGCCTACCAAGGACTTTTATGTTGGAGAAAAAAGAGTAAAGAGAGATATTGACAATTGAAAGAGATTCAGGGGAGACAGAAGTTTCAATGTAACTTCCCCTACCACAGCTGAGAGTTTAAACTGCTGAGAGATTTTTTTTTTCAGTATAAAAAAGACAGTAGTCAAATCCAGAAAATGTGAGAACTCCATATGATACTTCAGCTTCCAATTCTCAGCATCAGTTTCTGGCCAAAGAGACATAAATAAAGACAAAATGAAAGAATATAAGAATGGTGTATGAATGCAACCAAGAGGAGGAGGACCTGACATATGGAGAAGAACTTTACCAAAAAGCTAGTACTTTACTTAAGGAAATATAGAGTATAGTCCCCACAGAGATTTTTGCGGACACTTGATTAGTATTTTGTCAAATGGGTTTTTGAAAATTTAAATAATATCCTAAAATTTGGGCACAGTCAGAAGGGGAAAGATGAATTTATATATAAATCTACACTTTTTACATGTGTTTCTAGCAAATATAAGATTCTTAATAGCAGAGAGCAAATATGTAAATTTAATGTTAATTTTCCTTAAACAATTTTGAAGAGTATTATAAAAATATTATAGTTGCTGCCAAATTAAAAATTCTGAACTTGGGATAAGTTTTTCATTTGAACAGATTATAAGCCCCCTGGTAAAGGACTGGTTATTGATAGAAGAAGGGCATGTGAAGATATTTGTTGAGGTGGAAAAAATTCTGAGAACATAACATTTTCAATTTAAAGCCTCCACCATTTCAAAATAGTCAATGAGCAAATCAAGAAAGTGTGAAATTGCACCTGGTAATTTCATTTTGCTAATGTTAGCAGTTGCTGAATTATAGCAGATAAACCTGAACTTGGCAAAATTGGAAATCTAATGACATTTTTCATAAAATTCAATATTTCTATTTTTAAATAAGTTAACTTCACCTTTTTGACAAAGATAGCATGACTTAACCAGGTTGGCCTACTTGTCTCCATATTACTAATGGCCATCAAAAGGCAGTTTCTAATTAAGCTTCTATCTTAGTCCACTTGGGCTGCCATAACAAAATTCTATAAACTGGATGGCTGTAAACATTAGGAATGTGTTTCTCACAATTCTGAAGGCTAGAAAGCTCAAGATCAAGGCACAGAAAACTTCAGTGTCTGGTGAAGGCCCACTTAGAGGTTCATAGACTCTTTAACCTCACATGGTGGAAAGGGTGAGTAGTCTTTCTCTGACTTATTTTGTAAGGGCACTAATCCCATTCATGAGGGCTGTACACTCATGACTTAATCACCTTCCAAAAGCCCCATGTCTTAATGCCATCACCTTGGGGGTTAGGATCTTGACATAAAAATTTGAGGGGAACACAAAGATTTATGAAAGCAGTCCCCTACTTCGGTGTTCTCAAATCCTGTTCAATTGCCATGGCAGAGGTTCTAAGATATTATGATCAAATGTTTAATGCCAAAACCAAATTTATTTGGGAAAGTAAAGTATTATCTCTATTGGCCACAGAGAAAATAAGTGAAAAATAAATCCAATTTGCAGGGAGAAGGGAATGAACTTAGTAGATGTCATAGAGGAACACATGGGAAGGACTTCTTACCCCGCTTCGTACACAGGATACAGACTCCTTTTGATGTCACTCTGTGTTTCCACTGGAAGTCTTATTTTAAATTCCAAATCCAGCTAAATATTTGCACGTAATTTCACAAATGTATAGATTGCCTCAACCCACTTGACAAGTATCTGGTATACCAGCAGATGGATGAGTCCATATTCATTATAGTCATATTGTGGAGCAGAGCAGATTCCCCAGAGTCTTTACTCTTATCTGGGGAGCTGATAATTGCATTTATTCTCATATATTCCAACTGAAACTAAGAATTTGGAATGAGAATTGAGAAAGTACGCAAAAAAAACTCTGTACATTAAAATTATTTTAATAGTTTGTAATAGGAAACGCATACACATTGTATAAAACGTGTATTTAATAAATACAGAAGATTATGCAATGAAAAGTAAGTCTCCTTCTGGCCGCTGGCCACCAGCCAGGTATTTACCCTCCAGAGATAAGCACTGTTAGCAATTTTTAGTGTACCCTTGCAGGGATTGTCTATGCTTAAATGAGTATGTGATGTTCAACTTTTTTTTTCCAACAAGTGGTAACATAGTGCTACCTAGTTAGATACTTTGTGTTTTTTTCACATAATATATCTTAGCGATAACTCCATAAGAATGTGTATGGAACTACTTCATTCTTTTCAGTTGTTGCTATGATTTCTGCTTCTTTGAATGAATAAAGCATAATGTACTTAACTAGAAACCCTCAATGATGGTTGAACAAGGTTGTACTTTTTCATTTTAATGATATTTTGCTAAATTGCTATCCATAGAAGTTGTTATTCATCAGAAAAGTTGTAGTGATTTTAAGAAAAGCAAATAATATTAACTGTGTAACTATGATTGACTTCTACAATTATACTTATAGTAATTTGCATGTTGAATACATTTCTTTATCTTGATTCCTTAAGGCTAGTGACCTAACATCTGGTACCAACTGTGCTTTGAAGTAAATTAGCTTGCCATTTCAAGTTCATAGAGCTTCCATTTTGAATACTTAATTTTTTTATTTGTATAAATTTATAGAGTAAAAGTGCAATTTTGTACAACCATAGATTTTGTAGTAGTCAAGTCAGGACTTTTAGGATATCCATCACCCAGATAATATACATTGTACCCATTAAGTAATTTCTTATAATTTTACCCCCCCCCTTTTACTTTCTCTCCCTTCTGTCTCCATTGCCTATCATTCCAGTCTCTACACCCATGTGTACACATTTTTAGTGCCCCTTATGAGTGAAAACATGTAATATTTGACTATGTCTGGCTTGTTTCACTTAAGGTAATGATCCACTTCCATCCTTGTTACTGCAAAAGACATTATTGCATTTTTTATGGCTGAACAGTATTCTGTTGTGTATATAAACCACATTTTCTTTATCCAATTATCCTTTGATGGACATTTAGGTTGATTTTATATTCTTTAACACTTAATTGAAATAATGACCTAAGGCTGGGTGTGGTGGCTCAAACCTGTAATCCCAGCACTTTGGGAAGCCAACACAAGAGGATTGCCTGAGCTCAGGGGTTCAAGACCAGCCTGGGCAACTTGGTAGACCTCATCTCTACAATATATCAAATAATTAGCTAGGCATGGTAGTGCATGCCCATAGTTCCGGCTACTTGGAAGGCTGAGGCAGAAGGATCACCTGAACCCAGCAGGTTGATGCTGGGGTGGCCATGAGTGCCACTGCAATCCAGCCTAGGTGTCAGAGTAAGACTCTGATTCAAAAAATAAAGAATGAATGACCTAATACTAAATAACTAACATATCAGGTACTGTTCTAAGTGGTTTGTATGTTTCAACTCATTTAATTTTTACAACAATCCTATAAATCCATTACAGTTGTTATCCCAGTTTACAGATGAGAAAACTGAGACCCAAGATATTATGTAACTTGAAAGAGCTGGTAGCTTATAGTGCTGGAATCTAGACCCAAGGTAGTTGGGAAGCAGAGCTTGCAATTGAACCATGAGACTATAATCCCTTTATGGAACATTTTAATTTTTTGAAAAATTGCCTTGTACATACATCATTTCTTGAGTTGGTATTCACACTCTCATTGTAAATAACCTTTCCTTTCTTGTGTCTTTTTGTGCTTCCAAACCTGCCTTTTACAGATGAGGAAGATTAAAATAGAAGGTTTTTGTTTTTGTTTGTCCTGAGAACACCTACAAATTTAGGAACCAAGTTAAATATATAGAAATTTTTACATTTTTCATTATAAGTTAATGATCTTCAAGTTATTTCATAAATGTGCCAAAAGAGCTCCCAAGAAACATGTATATCAGTAAATGTCAAAATGTTTTTTAAAAAAATAACTTCCTGTGGTTCTTTAAACAAGCTCCCGTGACATTTTTCATCTGCATGCACGTGGTTGTATTCTCCTGTATCTTGACAGGCTGGCTTAGGTGAAATATTGTGCACATAAAAATCACATTTGGTAGGTCTTCTAGGAAGAGGTCACGTAAAAGTCATCTTTGATTTGTTAATGGAACTTTTTTAGATGTAGTATATGGCAGCAGTGATGTGCATCCTAAGGGATAAAAAACAGTCCATTTTATAAAGATTTATTTTCATATTTTATACACTGCAGTTCTGTTGTGTGTTTCTGATTTAGTAACAATTTATGTGTTTTTCTGTCACAGAGCACTGCGGCCTGTGGTGTTGAGGCTCACAGCGATGCCATCCAGCCCTGCCACATCAGAGAGGCCGTTCGACGCTACAGCCACAAGATTGGCCCACTTTCCCCATTCACAGTACGTAATAACAGAGTTATAAAAAGTTATATTTATAATCTCAAAGAATTTTGATTTTCAAGTGGTCAAATGAAGAAGCAATGGAATTGTTGAAAGCAATTTGTGGTGACTATAATTTTGTTGTATAAAAGTGGCATAATTCTCTTGGGAAATAAAAGTCATTTTTGTCTCTTTTTGGAAGGACACTTTTTTCTACAAAATATTATTTTCTTTCAATTACAAATTAAGCTTTTTGTTGGGGCTTATATTCCTATTTTTCAAAGCTTAGGTTTGTAAAACTTTTTTGTCAAATTATATGTATCCAAATATTGCTAGAAGCACTTTATGTTTTAAAATTGGTTAGATTGGCATTACCACTTCTATCAGATGTCCTACCCCTAAACATACTTTGAGTTGGAAGAAGAAGAAATGATTTCATACTAGCTTTGAACTGGGCTGAAATGTAGACAGTCTTTCACATCTTCAAATGATTTGCAGGCTTATAATCAGGGTTTTGTTTTTTTTAATGGGGAATTAAAGACTTGATATTTCAACAGCCTAAAGAAAGTGGATGTGAGTGTGGGTGTGTGTTTTAACTAAATACTCATGGTGTGGCCCTTAAAATTTTTTTTTATTTATGTTAATAGAAGTTTTTCCAAGTCCTTCTCTGTTTACAAGCAATTGGTTTGATATTCAGAAAGTAAGGTTTGCTTTACATAAACAAAGAATGGTAAAATTTTTTATTTTGATATTCACTTCTGTTTTAACATACTAATGCAGAATGTATATGTGTAACATTATACATAAACAAATAAGTAATAAGTATAACATAATGTACTTTCTTACCTGAGTGATTTTACTAATATTTGCTCATATAAGTCAGTATCTTCTAAATTATGTCATCTCCTTTTTTTCCTTGTATTTAAACAGAATGTTTTCTGTGCATTCTTTATTCTTATTAGTTATCGTTAATTTTATACATTCTCGATGTGACAGCAAAAACATACTTTATAAATGTCTCCAGAAATTCTTTGTAATGGTGAGAATTGTTACTCTTGTTTAATATTTAAAATCTGTCTTGTATACTAATAATATGATTTTAATATTGCTGATTAAAGCAATATACACATTTACATAAATGTTTTTAGAGCTTTTTTTTTTTTTGAATTGAGGTCTCACTCTGTTGCCCAAGTTGGCACATAGTAGCATGATCACAGCTCACTGCAGCCTCAACCTCCTAGGCTGAGGCAATCCTTCCACCTCACCCTTCCCAGTAGCTGGGTCTACAGATGTGTACCACCACACCTAACTAAATTTTTTTGTTTGGTTTTTTGTAGCGACAGGGTCTCACCATGTTGCCCAAGTTGGTCTCAAATTCCTGGGCTCAAACAATCCTTCCCCCATCAGCCTTTAGGAGTGCACCACCACGTCCAGCTAATTTTTTTAAAAATTTTGTAGAGATGCGGTCTCACTGTGTTGCCCAGGCAGGTCTCAAGCTCCTGGGCTCAAACAGTTCTCCCACCTTATCCTCCCAAAGTGCTGGAATTACAGGTGTGAGCCACCATACCTGGACTTTAGAGTCTTATAGTCAAAAAGAAAAAATGAAATCAAAATCTTTTATATGATAAATGAGGTTATTTTAAGCAATAGACCAAAAGGAAGGTACATATGAAAATTTATGAAGTAGAAAAATATGAGGCCAGGCATGATGGCTCACACCTGTAATTCCAGCACTTTGGGAGGCAGAGGCAAGAGGATTACCTGAGCTCAGGAGTTTGAGACCAGCCTGGGCAACTTGGTGAGACCTTGTCTCTACAATAAATCAAAACATTGGCCCGGTGTGGTGGTGCATGCCTGTAGTTCCAGCTACTTGGAAGCTGAGGCAGAAGGATAGCCTGAGTTCAGCAGGTCGAGGCAGCAGTGGCCATGAGCATGCCATAGCACTCCAGCCTGGGTGACAAAGTAAGACTCCAACTCAAAAAAAATAAAAAAGAAAAATATGAGATGATTGAAAGTAAACCAACTGAAATTGAAAAAAGCAATTTACAATGAAGGGTTAAAAATATCAAATCCTTAGATAAGCGCTAAATAATGATTAATAAATTGAAGCAATCAAGTGGAGAGAGAAGAAAAAGGATGCAGTTCCTGTTGGTAATGTATAAGTAATTAAAAGGTAGCAAAAGGAACCTAAAATGTTAACTAAAAGTAGAGAATAAAATTGCATAAAGGAAAATGTATCTAATACAAGGGGAAACCTCCTAATCATGAAGTCTGCATTATTTCCTCAAAAGGAAGTGGTGGCTGCTTCATTCCTCAATTTTTTTGTTTTTAAACAGACTGGACAGATCACTTGAGAACAATCTTGATTGATGATGACATTTATATAGTGTGTGTATATATATTTCTCCCCATGTCTATCTGGTATTTATGTAGTAATACTTTTACAATCTAAGTCAAAAATGTCTATTAACTAGGTTCGGATATAGCCTAGCCTAATTTTTTTATTTTTTCTTTTATTTTTTTCCTTTTTTCTCTTTTTTTAAAAGATGAGGACACAATTCAGGGTTAGATATACATATGTTCATTATACAGGTACCCTTGTTAATGAGGTGTGCCCCTGCCTTCCGTGGCAGTTTCCCTCAACTGCCAATCCCACCCTCCCCCCAGCAGTTTCTGACTACTGCCAATCCCTTTCTTATAGTATTATGATAATTGTTCAAGGTTCGCTTATGAGTGAGAACATATGGTACTCTGTTCTTTGTTTCTGTGATAGAACAGTGAGGATGATCAACTCCAAATCCATCCAAGTTGCTGCAAAGTTCATATATTTGTCCTTCTTTATGACTGCATAATATTCCATTGTATATATGTACCACATCTTTTTTATTCAGTCCAGCTTTGATAGGCAGTGTGGTTGATTCTACGTTTTTGCTAGCATGAATAAAGCTGCAACAAACATACATGTGCAGGTATCTTTTTGGTAGAGTGACTTGAGTTCCTCCAGGTATATTCCCAATAGGAGAATTGCTGGGTCATATGGAAGGTCAATTTCTAGTTCTTTCAGAAATCGCCACACTGTCTTCCAAAGAGGTTGTACTAGTTGGCATTCCCACCAGCAGTTCAGAAGCATTCCTTTTTTCCCCGCGCATTCTCGCCAGCATCTGTTGTTGTTTGTTTTACTAATGATGGCCATTCTTACTGGGGTTAGGTGGTATCTCAATGTGGTCTTGAGGTGCATTTCTGGATGATTAGTAAGGCTGAGCACTTTTTCATGTGTCTGTTGGCTGCCAGTGTAACTTCTTTTGAGAAGTGTCTATTCGTTTCTTTTGCCCACTTTTTAATGAGGCTATTTTTTTTTCCTTTTGGCGTGTTTGAGGTCCTTGAGGATCCTAGATGTTATGCCTTTGTCAGATATACAGCTGGCAAATATTTTTTCCCATTCTGCGGGCTCTTTCCCAACTCCCTTGATGGTTTGGTTTGCTTTGCAGAAGCTTGTAAGTTTGATAAGGTCCCACTTGTCTATCCTATTTCTTATGGTATGGGCACTTCGAGTTTTGATCAGGAGTTGGTTGCCAGTTCCAATATTTATAAGAGTGTCTCCTGCATTTTCTAAGATTCTTATAGTTTGAGGTTTTACATTTAGGTCTTTGATCCATTTAGAGTTAAATTTTGCATATGGCAGTAGGTAGGGGTACTATTTCAGTCTTCTGCATGTGATCAGCCAATTGTCCCAGCACCATTTATTGAATAGGTTCTACTCTCCCCAGTGGTTGTCGTTGGCAACTTTGCCAAAGATGAATTGGTTAAGAAATTGAGGCTTTGCTTCCAGAATCTGGCCTGTTCCATTGGTCTATATGCCTGTTCTTGTACCAATACCAGGCTGTTTTGATTACTGTAGCCTTATAGTAAAGTTTGAAGTCTGGAACTGTGATACCTCCTGCTTTGTTTCTTTTGCTAAGGATTGTTTTGGCTGTTCATGCTCATTTATGTTTCCATATGAATTTCTGTATTGTCATTTCCAGGTCTGAGAAGAATGATGTTGGTAATTGAATAGGTAGTGCATTGAATCTGTAGGTTTCCTTTGGTGCGATGGACATCTTAACAATGTTGATTCTTCCTCTCCATGAGGATGGAATATTTTTCCATTTGTTTGTGTCTTCTTGGATTTCTTTGAACAGTATTTCATAGTTCTCATATAAAGGTTTTTCACTTCTCTGGTTAGGAAGATGCCAAGGAACTTCTGTGTGTGTGTGTGTGTATGGCTATTGTGAATGGGATTATGCTTTTTATTTGATTCTCTGCCTGTTTGTTGTTGGTGTATAAGAATGTAACTGTCTTTTGCACATATATTTTGTACCTTGAGACTTTGCCAAAGTCCTTTATCAGTGCAAGCAAGTTTTTGACAGATGCTTTTGGATTTTCAAGGTATAGGATCATATCAACAGCAAAGAGGGATAACTTAACTTCCTTTTTTCCTATTTGGATACCCCTGATTTCCTAGTCTTGTCTAATTGCCCTAGCTAGGACTTCCAATACAATGCTGGACAAGAGGGGTGAGAGTGGGCCGCCTTGTCTTGTTCCAGTTTTCAGAAAAAATGTTTCCAGTTTTGTCCATTTAGCAATGTGCTGGCTGTGGGTTTGTCATCGATGGCACTTACTATTTTGAGATATGTTCTTTCTATACCTAGATGTTTGAGTGTTTTCATCAAGAACGGATCTGGATTTTATCAAAAGCTTTTTCTGCATCTGGTGATATAATCATGTGGTTCTTGTTTTTACATCTCTTGATGTATTTAATTACATTTATCGTCTCACGGATATTGAACCATCCCTGCATCCTGGGAATGAAGCCTACTTTGTCATGGTGGATGATTTTGAGATATATTTTTGGATTCAGTTTGGTAGAATCTTGTTGAAGATTTTTGTGTCTGTGTTCATAATAGATATTGGCCTGTATTTCTCTTTTTCTGTTGGATGTTTACCGGGTTTGGGTATCAGTGTGACGTTAGCTTTGTAAAAAG